TGAGCAACAGTGTAACCTGTTTTTCCTGAGTGTTTTCCATCTGGGTTGGTTGAATCGGCAGATGCAGAACCCGTGGATAAGGACTGTGGTTAGGGTTTGCTCCACTCGCTGGTTAGGGTTCACTCCTGTATTGCTCTCCTGCCTCCTCCAACCATGGATCCCCTGGGGGGTCCCCTGGACTGACTCTTTAGGTCAAGGGTCAAGAGTCATATTGGAAATGGCCCCCTCCCGCCTCCCTCCTCCCTGCTGCCCTCACCGCCCCTACCATCTCCGCCAGCTTCTGGATGGCCGGGCACAGGGTGTTGACGGTGCTCTCGTACCAGGGGTCCGCCCGGCCCAGGAACGCCGCCAGCTCTCCGAGCTCCAAGTGCCGGGATGATGCGCGCTTCTGAGGACAAAGGGAGGAGGCAGACCATCAGGTCTTGTCTCGGGCCCGCTCTTCCTGGCCGCAGGGTTCCCAGGTACCAGGCAAACCAGCTTTGGGAATGTGGTCCAATCGCTTAACCTCGTGGGGCCATTTCTGCACCATAGACTGTGCTGTTCTATCTCGGATGAAGCAGGAATAGCCTCTCTGAGGGCCACTTGCCTGGGACGTTGTGAAATGACCATACAATTTAATCAGTAGGGAAGTCCTTTCAACACATAAAAGTGCTATGTATGTCTACACAAATGTATTAAACTTTTGAAGATCAAAAGCTCTGTTGACATAATTGATAGGCAAATAATAAAGTGGAATAAATGTCTGCAACACATATGATTGCAAAAAGGATAAGATTCTCTTAATATGCCAAGGCCTTTTCAAGTCAGTAAGAGACTAGCTTCTTCCCACTATCGGCCGCCAGGGGTGGGGGTGGCGCTTAAAAGGAGGAGGCGGGTGTTGCATTGAACTTAATCTTCCCAATGAACAGCAGAGTGGGCAACAGGAATGAGAACCCTCGAGTGGGGCTTCCTCTTCCCCAGCAGGCCAATGGGCTTCTGCTGCCTGAGGTTCCCAGGAAGCAGTATGTGTGTGTGTGTGCGCGTGTGCGTGTGTGCACGTGTGTGTACGTGCATGTGTGTACATGTGCATGCGTGCATGTGTGCCCCTGTTTGAGGAGAAGCTTGCCATTAATTCCATTAGAAAAGCAAAATGAAAACCGGCGTTGGGCAGGTTGCCTGCCCCTGTGAGGGAACATCCCTCTGGCCACACTCAGCCCCAGGGCCATGTCTGTGGCTTCTGGGAAGAAGACCTCTAGGGTGTCTCCCAGCCCCGCCTCCCGAGGAAGGTGACCCTAGTTCCTGGAAGCGGGGCGGCAGGCTGCAGTGTGTCCTGCCCAGCCCCTAACCCAGACCGCTGCTCCTGACAGCCCCCCCACCCCCCCTCACCTCAGGAGTCAGCACAGGGATGTAGTAGAGCTGCAGGCTGAGTCTGGGAGACAAGCAGAACGTCTGGGTCTCTCGCTTCCTGGCAAGGGGCAACAGAGCACAGGGGGGTTTCAGCACATGCCGACCGGTGCCCTCAGAACCCCCCGCCCCCACCCCCCGCCCCGGGCCCCACCTGAGGCTGTGGTAGGCCCTGGCCAGGCGGCCCAGCATCCTGTCGTCCCCCAGCACCAGCACCCGGGCCGTGTGCAGCCTGGCGACACCGGGCAGCAGTTCTCCATCCCCACTGGGCCGGCCTGTCTCCGGTGAAACCCGGGGGGCCCGTCCCAGTGGCTGATGTCGGGGGGCCACATCCGCTTCTTCACGCCCCCTTTGCGCTGCAGCCCGGCGCGCTCCGTCTCGGGGCTGCTGGGTGCGGGCAGCTCGTCGGCGCCCGGAGGAAGGTCCCGCTCGATGCCGCTGTCGGTGGACAGCACGGACACGCGGGCCAGGTCCCGGTCGGGCAGGAGGCCCTGCAGGTCCAAGGCCTCCATGTCCGCGCTGAGGCGCCGCTGGGAGCGCGGGCGCAGGAAGAGCACCAGTTCCTTCCCTGGGATGTGGGGAACAAGGGCGCCGTGGGCGGAGGGCGTGTGGGCTGCCAGGGCCTCACCCCATAAGGTCGGGGTTCATGTTTCCCAAACGCTGCTTCACTGAGCAGCAGCCCCACAAGATGCTCCCGAAGGAGCAGAGGTTCTGTGGCCAACAGGCCAAGCGCCCCCCTCGCCGGCCCCCTCTTGCTGAGTTCCATTCCTCAACATCTAAAGCAGGGGTCCTCAAACTTTTTAAACAGGGGGCCAGTTCACTGTCCCTCAGACCGTTGGAGGGCCGGACTATAGTTTAAAAAAAACTATGAACAAATTCCTATGCACACTGCACATATCTTATTTTGAAGTAAAAAAACAAAACGGGAACAAATACAATATTTGTATTTGCATGTGGCCCGCGGGCCGTAGTTTGAGGACCCCTGATCTAAAGGCTCTGGGAAGCCTGCCGTCAAGGAATCAGCGTCAGCAGTACCTCCCGACTTTGAGCCTCTCTTTTTCACCATCGCTCATTAGCATCCTCCCGCCCTCCCACTTCCTGTAGCTTCCCCTGGGACACAGGGAACAGACCAGCAGCTCCGGGGAAGACCTCCAGGCTTCCCTGACCTCCAGACATGGCCCTGGGGCTGAGTATGTTCATTTGATTTCCCACGAGGAAACAGGCCCAGAGAGAAAACGGAGTCTGTCTAGGCTAGGGTGACCTGGCATGTGAACAGAAGTGCCAGGACCTGACCCAGCTCACTAGTCCAGCTCTGCTCCCTGCAGCCTGTGCCTGTCTTCCCTGCTCCCTTGACAAGGGCTGCGGGCACTGGGAGGGGACGCCAGTGGGAGGGGAAGTGCGGGGTGAGCGGGTCTTTCTGGCAGGGCCCTGCAGCTCCAGGAGCCATGACTTCTCTTGTGACTGCCTCCTTCTTGGGGACCTGCATTGTCTGTTGGCATCATCATGAGCATGTGGCCCCTTCTAGACCAGTGGTTCTCAACCTTCCTGATGCCGCGACCCTTTAATACAGTTCCTCATGTTGTGGTGACCCCCAATTTCATTGTTACAAATTGAACATAATTAAAGCATAGTGATTAATCACAAAACAACATGTAATTATATATGTGTTTTCTGATGGTCTTAGGCGACCCCTGTGAAAGGGTCGTTCGACCCCCAAAGGGGTCGCGACCCACAGGTTGAGAACCGCTGTTCCAGACAGTGCGAGGCCGGTGGCTAATGCACTCAGCTGTTCTGACATCAGGAAAATGCCTGCTTCCTTCAGATGTGCAGAGCAACTCAGTGCACACCCAGACGCACAACAGATGTACACGTGGACACACAGACACATACAGACACACACAGATACACCTAGACAGATGCACACACAAGGACAGACACAGACACACATAATAGATACAAAGTTACAGTCACACAGAACACACACAGACACAATAGATACACATACAAGCACATGCAGATATATACACAGACACACACACAAAGACACATGGACACAATGACACACAAACATATGTACACACACACAAGCACACACAGACACAGGCACACTTACACAGATGTAGAGACACACACATATGCCCCTGTTCCCAGCCAGCTGCCACGGAGGAGGTCAGAGGCGTGACTTACAGAGCTGCTCCTCATCCGTCCACAGCTGGAACGTGATGTGCGGGCTGGGCAGGGGGATGCTTGGGGGCCGCTCTGGGAGGGGGTCACCTGGAGGAAGGAGCAGGCTGTGGAGACCACGGAGAAGACTGTGGGATTCTCCTCTGCCCTCCCCCCCACCCGCAGCTCCTGCATGGGGCCTATGGGGGCTGGCAGAGACCCTCGCCCTCCCACGCCCGCTCCGGTTCCGGCCTCTCCCTCTGCCACCGGCAGCTCACCCAGGCCTCACGCTGCAGCCCTGTCTCCTGCCCACGGTGCTCAGAAGCTCCGTTTCCTGCGAGCTTCCTGGCTCCGCTTGTAGTCCCTTCACAAACCAGCTCACAGGGTCTTTCCCAACCGTTTCTCCTATGGCTGGTCCCTCCGCTAACCCCACATGCAGCCACGCTGCCTTCACCCAGAGCAGTGGTCGGCAAACTGCGGCTCGTGAGCCACACGCGGCTCTTTGGCCCCTTGAGTGTGGCTCTTCCACAAAATACCAACTTCTGCGCACGGCCACGAAGTTTCAATCGCACTGTACGTGCGCGCCCCGCACGGGTATTTTTTGGAAGAGCCACACTCAAGGGTCCAAAGAGCCGCATGCTGCTCGCGAGCCGCAATTTGCCAACCACTGACCCAGAGGAAGGGGAAAGGCTGCTGTGTTTCTCAGCGTGTCTCCCAGTAGCTTGCACACAGAAGGCACTCAATTAATGTCTGCTCTGGGGGGTGAGGCTAAAGAGAGCTCAGGAGCCAAGTACTAAGGTCAGAAGGACCCCTGCAGTCCAGGGGAGAGATGGGGCCAGGCCTCCCCTCTTCTCCTCCTTCTGAAAGCCTTCCTGACCACTCCACCCCCGTGGTCATTCCCTCCCAGCAGACCTTACTGGCTGCGCTTAACAACTAAATCCTAACATGTAGACTCAGGATTTAATTTCTACATAGCATGGCTCCCTCCCTATCAAGGCTGCAAGCTTCCTTAGTGGAGAGCAACTAATGCCCACAGAACACCTACGCCTGCCAGGCGCTGTTCTCCGTTCCTGGCACACCTTGCCATCACCTCACCAGACCCTGCATGGGCCACAGACAGTATTCTTATCCTCACTTTACAGAGGATGAGCACAGAGAGGTTAAGTAACTGGCCCCAGGCCACACAGTAAGTCGCAGAGTCAGAACTTGAGGCCAGGTATGCCCCCTTCAGAGTGCATGCTCTTACCCAGGACACTGTGCTCAAAACCACTGTCCCATGCAGGGGCTCAACAGCTGGTCAGTAAGATGTGCAGGACAAGTCAAGGCAGGAGGCAGGTGCTGGAGTGGCTGGGTGGTGGGGGTGGCCAGACCCGGTCTCATCCTGTCCATGCAGTTACTGCAGAGTTAGCAAGTGGTACCCCAGGAGAGCACCCGCCGCTTACCGCCGCAGCGCCCCCTGGCGGCCGCCGTCGGCCCCAGCAGCGAGCAGTAAATCTCCTCC